ACGTGGCCTCAAAGCATTTGTTTTAAGTGTATTTTGTTGGTGTTCCACCGATTTTGGTGGTCTTGGTGGCGATGTTGAACTTGGTCGCATTCGCAAATTGCGTAAATGGCGTCTTTGTGAATTACTGCAACCTGGCATATAGTTTTGTTTTGGACTCGGATATTTATGTGCAATCCAGTCGCCAGTTAAATGTTGTGGTACACTTGGTATTTTACTGATATCTGGATTTGAAGTTGAAATATATTTTCCATTACTCATACTTGGATTTTCATATTTATTGCGCATGCGTTCAACCTTACTACTACTGATGCTACTATTACTGCGTATGGGACTTACAGTCTTTTTTGGCAGTGAGGGTTTTTTATGTATTTCCTGTTTTAGTGCAGCTGTTTTACTAATAATATCTATATGTGGCATAAGTGGATGTCTTTGTGATGTTGGTGATGTTATTAATTTAATGCGACTACGACCTCTGTCTACTGTTTCAACTGTCGAAGCAGCATTCTTTTCGATATTATGAGTATACCATGAGACCTCACCACTATCGTCGTCAAATAAGGCGTCTTTTGAACCTGAACTTAATGGTGTGTTAAATTCAGGATCGCTGCGCACCTTTCTCAGCGAACTAACCCCAAAAAAATCATTCTGTTCAGTTTGGCAATTAATACTCTCAAATTTTTCTTTCATTTTCTGCACTTCTCCAGTGTGAACACGATGCAAATATGAAGACTCATGCGATTGTGGTGAAACACTATTCGAGTGATAATATGTATCATAAATTTCTAAGCTGCCATCTGGTGTAAAATCATTTAATTCGTAATCTGTTTTTGAAATAATATCAAATTCATGTTGGTCGTGTTCATCAACATGTATATCTGGAGGTCGATCAGGTGGTGTATGGATATTGAAGTTAACACGTGTCACATTTCTTTCACCAAACATGTCCTTGAGGTCCGTAAGTGAAGAACTCATTTGTCTGTGTTTCAAGTTATTTTCATTAGCTCTTGTTTTTAAATTTTCTTCGATTACACGCATTACTTCTCCTTCATCTGGTGATGAATCCTCACGAGCGTGGTATATTGTTTTCGGTGGTTCATCATATTGTTTGTCTTCAAAATATTGTATTTTTTGCGAAATATTTTCTTTGAGAGTTTTGGGTAAACTCATATAGGTAGCTGATTCTGTTTGACCTTCATTGATATGACCACCCTTTCTATAGCCTAAATATTGTTGCTGATCAGATCTTGAAGGATATTTTCCACTGGATTTATCAATATTCCTAACTTCAGAAACTGAACTGAAATTGTCTACGGTTGTCTTAGTATATGTTGCCGGTGGAGGAATTTCTGGTGCTTTCATTAATGTTGACTCTGCATTTTTAGCTGCAATAGCACCACGTGTTTCTCGAGCCAAAACTACAGGTGACGTACTACGAGTAGGATGGGTGTGACTATAAATAGGTTCGGTTATTATACGATCTGTTGGAATAGTATCTTTTTCAATATTATTAACATTTTCGCGTATTTTCGTAGTATGTCGTATCGGTAATGTATTCGAAATAATTTCTTTCTTTCTCATAACTGGGCCCATAAGATCTTCCTTTGTAATAGAGGAGCTAGATCGTACTTTTAATCCATTAGTTGTAGCTTTATGCTTACTTGGCTTATTAACTGTCACAATATATTCTTCACTTACAGTAGCGTCCTTATTAGGAGCACTGGAATAGATATCATTCAATTGCTGCGTTATCTTACAAATCTGATCCTTGGACAAAGTACTTACTAGTTTATTACTCAATTGAAATTCATTTTTATTTCTGAAATCTACTTCACTCTCCTCAACTTCATAACCAACAGAATTTGGTTGCATTCTTCCTTCTAGAGTGGAAGTTAAATCTGCAACTGTATTACGTCGCCAATATGGTTTAACATAATCTCGTTGGTGAAGTATGTCACGATTTCTTTGCAAGTCGAGTTCTTTTAAAAATATTTTTCTTTCAAAATCTTCTCGTAAATCTTCCACTGATTTTTCCTTAGTATGTAAGCCAAAATCAGTCTCTTTTTTCCATTTCACATCTTCAACATCTTTTGGTCGAAAAACGAAATCTTTCGATCGTTGATCTTCTTTCAGTTTGCTCACTAAATAATTCAACTCCTTTTCTGCACGTTCATGAAGGCGTATTTTTCGCCATTCTTCGAAATCCAACAATTCACTATCCTTTCTAATCGGTTTAAAATTTGTGATCGAAGTAGCACGTTCTAACTGTCCAACACGCTCTAAAGTACTGTAAAATCGATTTAGATCTGTAAAACGTTCAGAGTTACTACGGTAACGGCACGTTGGACTATGTTGATCGAGATATGTAAGTGAAGTTGCACTGTGAGCAAGTTCACCACATAAGTAAAGACCACGCTTAGAGCGATCATCCGCGCTGCTTAAGCTGCTGGCTCGTATAATTTTGCTGGTGTCACTTTTCATGTTGACACGTTGGCTATCGATTCGACGCCTGGAGGGCGAACGCATTGTACGTGACGCTTGTGGTAGGCGTACCTCACGTGTCGGCGAAAATCTCCTGGGAACAGGTGGCGGAGATAATGGTCTTGCTATGTCCGTGATGTTTTGCATAACTTGAGTTGTTGGTTGTCTTCTATTTTTGTGTTCATATTGCCACACCAGATTTTCAATGCAATTAGGTTCTTCTATTTCAGAAGTTTCTTCATACTCATAATTGCTTGTGTTTTCTGTATCGGGTTCCACTGTATGGTGCCTTGTTGGGCTTAAACTACGAGAATTATAATACGATGTATAATAAGGTGTCTGATGTGTAAGCGAAGTCGTTTGTGCATTAATATCATTCCAGAAAATTGTTTTATCACGCACATTATCATAAACGCAAACCTCTTCAACAAGACCTTTCTCTGCTGTTGGTAATGACTTAACATAAAAATTTGTGGTTTCAACATTATATCGCGGTTTTGTGGATTTAGGCGTTGTAGTGGACTTAGGAATGTTAGCACCCTTAACAATAACTTTGCTAACGTTCTTCATTTTTGCTTTATGCGCTAAACTGCTATCACTTTTACTATTTTGTAGTGCTATAGTCCGTCTACTTTTTACTTCCTTTACTGGAGATTTCAATTTAATAGATGTTTTTCCTGTTGTAGTGATCCCTATTTTTTCCTTTGGTTGTGATTTTGGTTGTGCAGTTGTTGTTGTTGTTGTTGATTCCACTGAAAATGTTGAGTCTGTACGTGCTAGGCTTACGGTAGATACAGTTTTTGAAGTATGTTTAGATGGCAATGTGTGTATATTTGTCTTTGGTTTTTGGGTTGTATGTTTAGGCACATTTTTATGGACTGAACTTACGTATAATACATCACTTAAAGGACGAGGTTTGGGAATGCACATTGTATGACGCATTGTCGTATTAACACTAAAATTGGAATTACTATATGGTAGTCGGGAGCGCGGTGGCACTGATTTACTACGTAAGTGATCAGAACAAGCAGCATAGGAACGCACTGCTTGCTTAACATCACGTGGTGACTTGAGAGAAGGATCCCGCAAAATATTTGTACTTGCTTCAAAAGTATGCCTACTAAACGGTAATGTATTTTCTAAGCGTTTCTTTTCTTCAGCAAATGAACGCTCTTTTGAAATACTTCTTCCGAAAGCCACAGGACTACGACTAGTCTGGCGTAGGGATATAACACGTTGTTGCCTGCGTGTGGGACTTACAGAACCAACACGTGAGTGCTGTTGTAAACGTGCAATTCTAACGTTTTGACTGGTAGAAGGTTTTGCGTTATGTGTAGAAGTGACTGATGATAAAAGAGTAGAAACTGCACCAGCTGACTTTGAACGACAAATAGGCTTGGTACGTTTAGTTAAGCTGCCTGTGTTGTATTTGCTAACACCAGGTGGAGTGCTTTCGGGACTTTGAAAGCATTGTTCATGTCTATGTGAGACATTTGTAGGTGTACGGCCCTTAAATAATCTGCTGCTAGTATCTACTTTAATTATTGTTTTAGTGCATGAAGATTTGCGGTTCGGTGGAGCAGGCGGTGCTGTAATTGTCTTTTTTTGTTCCACTGATATAAACGACGGCATTGTTTTAGCAAATGGCGTACACATATTGTTTTTATTCTCTGAAATTTTTTCAGTATGTTGCTCAAGGTTGCTCGTAAAAGTATCTGGACTGTTGAGTAGCTCTTTACTGCAATGAACACGTATTTTAGTTAGTGTGGGTGTTATTTGAAGGTATTCAAATTGTTGTTGAAATCCTTTTGTGGAGGATGAAAAATATTAAATAAATTTTTATTAATATTTTGTTTTAATAGTTTTTACAGAAAGAAGATTTTCACTTTCAACTTGGTGCGCTAAGAAAGTGTATCGATCCAACTGTGCATTATCTTGGTACTTATTACTCTGTAGAACGTGGACAAGAAATTTGACGAAAATTAATTCTATTGCTTTGCAGTTTTGTGACCATTCATGGAAATTACTTGCAGATTAATTATTGAACTCATTTATTGTATATAACCAACACCTTTAAAATTATTAGATTCATTTTGAACAACATACTTTTGCATAGCTGTACACAGAAAAATTTATGTTAGTAATACTACAAAGAAGGATATGTTAACAACCTTAACCTATGTAAATTTGTTAACAATAATTAATAATTTAATTAAAATAATTAAAATAAATTGTTAAGAAGTTTGAGTAATGAATAGCCATGTAGCACTCAACACTTTGTGTATTCAATATTTTTACAGTGCCGTGCTTAAATGAGTGATTGCAATTATTTAACATAAATTAAACAAACCTTTTGGTTTCTCTGGAGCTGGCTTGCGAAAACCGAATAAAGGTGGCTCACCGCCAGCCTGTAGACTCTTATAGGCTTGCTTCTGCTCAACAGGACTTAGTGGACTACCTTGTATTACTTCTTTTTTACGAAAGACTAGATTCGAGTCACTGGTGTAACCAGATTCTTTGGCTAATGCTCTATAAAAAAATTAGATTATATCTTCTGGTATAACTGTTTACGGTTTAAATGTACCTGGAAAGATTTCCTTCAGTGTAATGTGGTGACAGCTTCGTTTGATCCAAATGCTGTTAATTATGATAGAAGTGAATATTAAAAATGTTTATTTTAATAGAGTAAAAAAAGATAATTTCAAAAAGAATTATAATTAAGTAATACATACATATATATTTTTTGTTTAAAGTAAACTAAACTGAAAGTTATATATAATAACAATAAATATTTCGTAGATATAGATTTTAGAAAACTTACAGTAAATTCTTTTTCATCTTGTGCGAGTTCAATAACTATACGAGGCAAAGGTGAGTGATCCAAAAGCCACTGCAGCTTGTGTTCAGGTGTTAATAACAGTTAATAAATTCATAGATATATGCATACTTATAAAAATATGAATAATTACAAAATATTAAAGAAAATAGTTTAAGATATTTAGATTGAATGAAAAACACAAACTCGAAAGTTCAATCACATCACAGAATCACATCACAGAATATGGCACTTTTATGGATCAAAATGTGCACATAGAATACATATATGAGGATGAGACAAATATATATTCTCACTATTGCAAATGCAGAAGAGCGTCTTAATAGGAGAGAAATAGAGATAATGGAACGATAACTTGGTTAACATATAATAACTTTTGTGTTAAGATAAAAAAAAGTGGTTAAATTGATAGTGTTATGGTGTTGCAAATTAAGAGTTATAAAAAAATATATATAATTTATATAGAAAAGTTGTAGTTATGTTCTCAGTTCATTCTCAGTTATTCATTATCAGTTCATTATCAATTATATTACAATATTTGAATTGGCATATTTACAAACCGGATTCTTTACAAACCGGAATCCTTTGGATCAGAAGAGCTGTTTGTATTATTATTTTATCGATATTATTTAAACTGACTTAAAGTCTACGAATAACAAGTACAAGTTTAGTCCAAACTCAATGTCTTTTACCACTGCTTGTATGTTTACAAAAACCTAGTCTATTAAATTTGTTTCTATCCCGGAATTCACATTACTATTCCTCGAATATCTCTTTAGCAATACTGTAGAATATTTCTATAAATTACGCTGCACATAAGAAAAATATTTGTTTTTAATTCGTTCATAATTATTAAAAGCACAGGTGATATACGTATATGCAATATCTTTCTAAAATTTGTATGCAACTTATGTTTTTTATATTAACAATTTGAAGCTGGCATACCACATGGTAACCCTAAAGGAATGTATATACTAAAATGTTAAGCACTCTGGATAGTGTGCAGAGGTGCAAGCATATATAGACATACTGGAATATGTACGTGATGACTGCGATTACAAGATCAAAGTATTCTATATAGTGGTCACCATAAGGGACATATTAGATATTTACTCCCGGTTTATCATTAAATTTTTTTTTGTTGATTATTTTCTTAATATTTCAATTGAGAATAAGTCTTAAAAACAAGGCTTATTATAAAACTATATTAGCACTTTATTTTTATGACTACATCCTCAATGCCTACACTGTATATATCGGAGTAGTTTTTTTCTCTTTGTGATCTGACCAACAACTTTGTCTTTCTGGTTATAACACAGACTTTTTTCAGTATATCTACTATATACAGAAACGGGAATCCATTTCAACCAGTTATGCTTTGAATAATTCAGATCATGGGAAACCGATATGGATATAAACTGATAAGTGTGCTCTGGGTTACTTATTTCATTTGCCTACTTAAGTATTCAGTACGTATAACTAATTTAACTGAGTACAACAGGAAGGTCAGTGCTATCCTCTGGTCAGATTATTCATTCTATTTTTTTTCCAGGGATATATGTATTTTAACACCATCTGGAAAATAACTAAGCATAAGTATGACTATTTCTCGCCAATGGATATACAAATATTCCTACTAAAAAATTTATTTAGTAAGTAAATAAAAATTTATTTAACATTGCTTAAGTTTATTTAAGGGTATAAATGTGAAGGATGAACATTTGTGAATTTATGAATTTTTAATTCACATTATTAATTTAAATTTAGATGACTTATAAACATCTTAGATATAACTTCAAGAGTACTGATGATGGGTCTAAAATTCATTTAATTAAAAATAATAAAGAAAAAATTTGTTGCAATTTTCTACTGTTCGATAAAAACCTATCTATTGAAAATAATAAGTTATATTAAGAATTTAGTTTCTTTCGTCAAAACGGACGTTAAAAATCAATTTAATGAACTTTAATGCAATTAATTATAAATACAGATAAAAATTAAAAATTCACTGAATACAACTTAAAGAGTATATTTTAAAAATAATTCAAATTATAATTAATGTTTAAAAATAAATTTCTTTGAATAGTACTAAATATACAAACAGTATTTTAAAAAATAAAATAATTTATTGAATCTTTTTAAACAAAAATGATATACTTGTTATTGAACTGCTATTATATGTGATATTCGGCTTCTAAGTGCTTCATGCCAGTACTATTTTTAATGATAGTTTTGTGTATTCTATATAACTATACCTCATAATATTTCCGAATTGTATTTCATTATTTTAATATATTGTCATTAACTAAGTAGCATTTCAATTTAACATTTTCAGTAAACGGAATTATTAGTATATAAATAAAAGTGTATAAGCCATGTTATAAACAAAGACAATTCTGCTTATATATAGCTAGAAATAATAGCATAATTCCCATAAATTTTTTTTCTCTGAAAATTGCATATTTGTGTCAATTGTTTTTCTACAATGTAATGTATTGGATTGAATTATAAAGTTTGCAGTTCAAATTTATTCAGAATATATAACTAACTGGTGATCGTCTTAGCAGAACGTGGTGTTCGGTTGGGATAAGAACATAAAATTAAATTATGTCTCACAAATGTGGATTTCATAAAAAACTTGACTTTTGTATGGATGGTGTCTAAACACTATAGATGAAAAAGTTAGTAGTTAAAGTATCGTTATTAGAAATTGGTAAAAAATATATGTAAAGTTAACAGGTCAATGTTCAGCCCGTTAAGAATTAAACAGCGTTTTTTATACATATCAACACTTTTATATAGGATGTGGTTTAAATTTGTAAGACAGAGCCTTATAATGTTCTATGAAAAATCATAAAAAATAATATGAGTTGGTATTTGAAAAGAATGGTCTTAGAACCATTTTTTTTAAAATCAGTTTTAAAATCATGCAGCAGCAAACTTATTCATCCCAGAGTTTTATATGATATATTGGAGCAAAACTAAATCATCCAAGATGCTTGCGTTAACCAAATACTTATGAATTGATTAAGGTGACAAATTATGGTTAGTCTAATATGCTACTATAGTGTATGTAACAGAGTGCATAGTGTTACCTACATAACAATAATAATCACAAATTTCACACCTTTCTTCAAACAAATTAAACAAACCTCAATAGTATTTCATTTCACAACAATTAGAGGTTCAATATTTTGAAGAATATATAATTTATAATTTATATAATTGGATAGGCATGTCGTTATCAAATCTATCCAATCCTAGATCACCAGTTCCTAGTTGATCAGAAGCTAGAAAAATCTCATATCTGAGACAACAAAACAGTTAGCAGGTTTGCAAATAATAGTCAACTAACTCCATTCATATAAACTGAACGTCTTTACGAGATATTCACTTATCAGACTGTATTTAGTACCTAGAAATATTGAATATAAGTTTTTCGAGAAGAGCATGTCCACCCTAAAGGCTTTAGATCAGCAATTTATTCAAGTCAATAATGAAAATAATAAGTTTCTCAATTTAAATAGATCGGAACTAAGGTAAATCACTGATTTCCTATATGGATATGTTTCTGTTAACTACAACCATTTAAAGATATGACTATATGGCACCAATATTTTCAGATTCAGTGATAAACAGAATAATAAAATCGAATCTGTTGATGTGCTGCGTTGCAAAGAAACGAGTCTAGTACTTTCTCTCGTTTTTCAATGTATCGAATAAAGGTTTACGATACCTTAATTAACATTAATATGCAAGAATATTTTCAGATCAGCTGTGAAGATTCTCTCCCGGAATATCACAACAGATTCTATAAATCGTAGCGCAGTTTTGGATCTTCTGATTAACATATAATTATAATAATAATAAAAAATAATAAAGAAAATTAAATAATTATAAAATATATATAATACAATATTATAAATAAGATAATATACAATATTATATTATTGTATATTGTAGTAAATAATGAGAACACAAGGCTTGTTTTATTATATAAAATCAGTATTATTATTGATTATTATTTATTAGTTATTAGATCCTCTATGTATTTGAGGACTATTATATAAAGATATTAAATTGTATTTGGTAATTAAAATAATGAAAGTAACTAAATCATAAGCTAATAGTTCCTATTGAAAAAGATGGAGTAAAGAACACAATTAGGATGGTTCAAGAATGAAATAAATATTGCAATGTATTTGCTGACCAAGTGAATAATGGATACACATAATATATATTCTAAATAAAACATAATTATTAACATTACTAAAATATAGTAACATAGTACGAAACAAAGTAAATAGAATATTTTTCAAGTTATACTACAACGAAAAATAATGTAACAAAAATAATATATATAACATAAATTCTTAAAAATATATTAAATATTATATAAATATGTTATATGTTATTGCTATATATCTATTATATATATTATTATATGTGATATCTTAAAACTCTATTCCACGAATAAGAATATTTTCTTTGGATTCATAGTTAACGAAACTTCTTTCGCTTTTATTTCACTAACGGACGGATATATCGAATTAGTATCTCTTTGTAAATATTTAAAAATCTTATTCGTGGGCTTAGAGCATTTTTATAAGTATTACCATTTAAAATAATTAATATTTTAAAATTATATAGTACTCGTGTATTACACATATGTTGCAGGTGTATATACACAAATAAAAAAATTAAAAAATCGGTATGCATACCCCATTAAAGATGTCCATCACTTCGTCCCACCACTAAAAAATATGTGAATAAAATATTTGCAGTGAATTAAAAGAAAATTAGTTCTTTTTATTAAAGAAATTAACACGAAATGTGCATGAATTATTAAAAAGAAAGTATATATGTATATATTTATATGCAATTAAAGAACTGTTTAATATATTTTGAATGAGTTGTGTATATATAAAGTGCGAAATCCTCATTTAATTACACTATGTTATCATTAACTTAAATGGCAGTTAAATTTTAATTAAGTCATATATTAATATTAGTATTATTTATATACTAAACTCTAAACTACCTTAGTGTTTTTGTTCATAGAAATGCATATGATTTACTTAACAACTAAACCAAATCTACTTAGAAAGTATCAATGTTAATTGCATTATAATAATATACATAGAGATAGACGTCTGGAGACTTTCCAATTCGAATCTATAGTGGGAGGTCTGGACGTAGATTTTTCAAAAAATATATGACATGGATAACCAAGTTATTTGGAATCCTCCCTGAAGGAATGCGAAAGCGGTCCTTCTGGCAGAAGAAGAAGAGGGGATGTTTTAGTTGGTTTACTAAGCAGTAAAAACCGGACACACCATACCGGCGACAGTCAGTTTGACGGTGCATAAAGCATTCCACCTCCTAAACCACAGAAAAAATGTATGTACATAGATGGAATAAAATGCTAAATACTTTCACATTTCGTTTATTTCGAAGTTCATGCAAAATTTGTTAATTTAGAAGAAAAGTATATTCTACTTTAATAATGGGTTAAAATTAGATTAAAATAAACGATCGTTTTTAAAATGACTTCAGATTCCAAAACTATAATAAGGTACACAAGTTCTTGAATTACAAAGTCTAAATTGCTAATAAGAAGTGGCACCATTCTTTACTCTACGAAAACCTAAAAAAAGGAAGAGCAATAACTTAGAATTTAAAAATTTGCAAAAGGAAAAGAAATTATAATTCAGGTCCATGCTTCCTATAGATATTCCTATTGATATTATAGATTTATTAGCTGATATGTGAAGAAATATTTTTTAATATTAGCGGATTTAGCGGAAATGTATTATATTAACAGTCAAATACATGACTATTCATATATAACAGATATATCTTCATATATAACATTTATTACCTAAATTATTAGGAATACAAATACTTTTACAAGGACGATAATAATTTAGGATCTTATACCAAAATAGATAGATGAATATAGAACGATTGTAATTTAAGCATTTAGCGGAAAGATCATAATATAATTACGACATCCCAAAGCTGCTATGTTAGGTGGATATTACATTTCTTCATTTGTTATAAAGGATTTTTTCTGAATCTTTTATATTATGTAAGTGAATTATATTTGATTTTCATATTCAGATTGACTTTGATTATTTTAACTACATATAGTAAGTGGTTTCATAGAGTCATGTATCGGTACCTGTTTTTATAAAGAAAATTTTTTTACAAGGTAGAAAAAATTTCATTAAATTTAAATGGCAAGTTTACAACGTATATATATCATACGAGTACATTCCTATTCAAAATTAGTTGTGATGAGTAAAAATTTGACAATATATATGAAATATCAGTTGTTTTAACGAAAGCTAATGTATTTTTTTATAATCTTCTCTAAAATATTTGCAATTACAAACAAACGTTATCACATTACTAAAAATGGAGACGATCGGTTCAGATTTGTATAAGCTGTCTAAGAATGAAATATATCAGATTCAAGTTTTTATATTAAATATATTTTATTTCTTAATATAATTAAGACAAATTTAACTGTTGAGCAGCTGAACTTAAGTTAACACATTAAAGACCGCATGCTCCACCGGTGGGTCACTCCGTAACAATATTACCGGCCCGCGTGCTCACGGGTGAGCACACGACATGTTTTACCAGGGGACCGCTTGTACACCTGTGTGCATGATTTAAATTCAATTTATGTACAGTACTCCATTCTTCGGTCCCTCGGAGATATACTGCATATAGCGGACTTAGTTAATTTGCTATAGCCTTATTTTAAAACGATTTTTTTTAATCAAATCAATATACGTAATTAACAATAAAAAAAAAATGCCGGTTCCTATGTGTGAAATAAGATTTTTCAATGCGGTCTTCAACGTGTTAAACAACTATATAGTTGTTGTGATCAGACTATTTCAGTTTGACCAGCCTGATATAGATCAGACTATTTTAGTTTCCCGGTTTTATGATCTTTGGTTAATGAAGATATTGATTATTTAATGTATCTAATATACACCAATTTGAGATCAGTGAGAATTTAAAAGTGAGACCAACAGACGCCGGATAAAATTTTTTTAAGTGGTGGGGAAAACTTCCAAACTATTTTATTAAAAACAAAGTATATTATGTAAGATTCGGTAAAGTCAAAAGTAACTTCCTTAATTGAGTATTGTATTTTCTACGTATATCATGTTATAATGCAATATTGACTACTTTTTGTATATAAAATACGAGTTCCATAAAATAAAATATGTAAATACAGATATATTTCAAATATTACCTCTTTATGTTCTTTTTCAGAAACGGAAGAATTTCCAGTTACATAATTCTCAATACGACCAGGTTGATTTTTATATGAATTTTGTCCTGATTTAACTGGATTTGGCATAGTACCATAAGATCTAAAATAGAAATATATTATATTGTTAAGAGTTGTTTTAAAATTCGAGCATATATTTAGTTTTCTTACTTATCGTCGTAAAGGTAGTTCGCGTTACTCCTGACGTTTGCAGCAGAAGAAACCGATTGAAGACGTCGTCTATCTAATGTACGATATTTAATAGTAGAGTAATCGGAGTCGTAATTCGGCTCAGGTTCTGACAGATAACCGTTTGATTTGTGTGGTGCCCGAGCTGTTGAATATGCAAGAGGACCTTTTAATAATGAAAAAATAGTAAAAGAAATGTGGGATTAGAGCGCAGTAATGCAACAAGCAAGTAATGAGTAATTAAAAGTTAGAAGAGCATGAGCAGTAATTAGTTGCAAAGAAAAGTATTACCAACTTAAAAAAAAAATAACTGAAAATAATTAAAAAATGCGTTTTTGTTTTAAAAACTTTATTGTTAATATTAAAACTACAATATTGTATTTTACAGAAATGTTAGTAAAAAAAATTTTATTTCTAAAACTAAATAAAAATATTATTATCTAATAGTATATTAATAATGATGAGTTATTATTTATTATTTTATTATATTTATTAGAACATGTATTTTATTTTATTTTATTTTATTTTATTTTATTAATGAGCATGCAATTTGCTGTTTGCTGAGAGTGTATTTGAGTTGTTTTTTGTTTAATTTTTCATTATTTTTTTTTTTTGTGTATAAGATAATTATTTTTTATATTTTATATTTTTTTATGTTTAAATGCATTAAAATGAGTTTGCATTTCAGTTCATTCTTTGGCGATAAAAAAGCATTAAAATAAGCAAGCGTTGAAAGCAATTTTCTAATATTACATCATCTACAGCTGTTATATATGTATATTGTATATAGTTATATAAGTAAGGAAATTTATAAAAAAAAATTGAGCAAAATTCACCTCTTTGACATTTGTAGCGTATCACGTAATCATCTGAGCAAAGATTTACAATAATTGTAAAAATTTAAAGCATTTGTAGGCATGAAGAAGCGCGCAAACCGAAACGCAAATCCAATTAAAAAAATTTT